AACCACAAATTTCATGTTATGATATTTGAAATATTTATTTAATTACGAAATAAATAGGATATGACTTAGAAAAGTTCTTGATTTTTTTTTTTTAATATGGAATTATTCTATATAATAGAGAGTAAACTAATGTTACATAAATTTTATATTTATTGTCAATTTTTTTTTTAGAATAAATGAAACTTTTAGTAACGATATAATTATTAAAAATTTGGATAGTTGCAGTTCATCGTGAACAATGACCGAAAGAAGGGGAGAAGAAAAAAAGGAGAGAAAATGTGATAGTAAATATTAACTTTCACACTTTAATCGGTTTGTGTAGTAAATTCTTATATGTAAATTTTCGTTTGTCAATGATTAATAATTTTCCTAAAATCTATAAAATTTAAAGATGATGTAATTTTATTTTATTTTTTTTAAAAAATTCTTAATATATAAGAATGCAAAGGATCATTGGCACTCAACGACCACCAATCAACCACCTTCGACAAATCAAAGGTATGTAAAAGGATACGAAGATGAATTCATTCAATTTTTTGTATAACTTAAATCATTTAAATTGCCTATTTTAAATTTTAAGACATGCGTGTTTTTTTTCCTGCCAAAATCATGATATGTATTATAATATGCGTGGTTGAGCAATTTCGTAGGTACAAGCCTCTTACTTTTGACAAAGGTTCTAACTCATTGGCTGTTGAGGAGTGGATTAGAGGTTTGGAATGCATTTTTCGACACATTGCTTGTACGGATGCACATAAAGTACTATGCCCAGAGTTTACGTTTGCTGGAGCTGTCAGTCATTAGTGGGTGTCTGTCTCATGCACTAGGACCGAAGAGGAGCACCATAACCTGACTTGGGAATAGTTTAAGGATGAAGTGATGGCAAAGTATTTTCCACAGGCTTTGAGAGATTTCAAGGAATCAGAGTTTCTACAGCTCAGACAAGGGGACATGTCGCTTACTGATTACGAAAGATAGTTTGAACAACTCTTAAGATATGTCTCATTGTTTTACTTCATATCGTGAAATGCTGGAGACGGCTCATGCTATTTCATATCAGAGGACTACAATTCATCAGTATGCAGAGCAAGATACGAAGTCATTTGGAAAAAGGAATTGGAATGAACAGAGTAATGACCTCCGCAANATATCAGAGGACTACATTTGAGCAGCATGCCCAGCATGGTAAGGAGTCAAAGGAAAAAAAGTGCAATGATCAGAACAAGGACAGACGTAACTTGCAGAATAAAAGACTAAACACAGAAGTTTGTATTGGTGGGACAAGTGGGAGTATTACACCTTGTCCTAAGTGTAATAAACTCCATATGAGTGAATGCTTGCTTGGGAAGAACGTGTGTTTTCCGTTTGGTACGTCGAGACACATTGCTCTAAACTGTACTGAGCCTCTAAAGACAAATGATGATGATCAGGACAAGAACAAGAAAGGAAAGACCCGAGTTTTGGCACTAAATTAGCATAAGGCGGAGCAGGATCCGAATGTGATAGCAGATATTTTATTATTATTTGAAGTACCTTTTTAAGTTCTTGATTTTGCATCCTCTGTCACTAAGTCTAGCACTATAATTACGAAACAGGTATTCTATTATTATCTGATGTACCTGCTTACGTATTTTTTGACTCTGGGGCAACAAATTCTTTTATCTCTACATCATTCGTTGCTAGATCTAACTTTGCATGTGTAAAAACGAATAATGAATTAGAGGTTAGCATCCCTTCAAAAAGAACTCTTCACATAAATCAGATAACTAAAGCTATGGAGTTAGAGATTGACGGGAAAAATATTGCAAGCGGATTTATACCTTTTGGAAATGAAAGATTTCAACGTTATTTTAGGCATGGACTAGTTATGACTCCATTATGCGACCATTCAATGTCATGAGAAAGAAGTGTTAGTTCACAGACCGGGAGAGGAAGAGTTTCATTTCTTTGAAGCAAAATTCAAGTCTCTACCTTGCCTTGTATTGGCTTTGCAAGCAAAGAAGATGATAAGAAATGAGTTATGCCAAGGATTCTTAGTTAATATCATCGGTTCCAAACGTACATAAACAACCATTAATGACATTAACGTTGTGTAAAACTTTGTAGACATATTCCCAAAATATCTACCAGGCATTCCACTAGACAGGCAAGTGAAATTTATAATTGACCTGGTTTTCGAAACGGCACAAATATCTAAGGCCCCGTACCGAATGGCATAGAAAGAACTTCAAAAATTGAAGTTACAATTG